TCTATTCTCAGGTYCTTGAGATACTCAGCAGCTGACTTTGCCCTCTGGATTTGTGGGAATGCAGCCTTATGACCTGAGACCTAAACCAGATTTCCTATGGTTTAATCTTATCCTATGATGCCCTAACTGCTTAGCAGAGTCTGGCTAAACCATCRTCACCTTTGTTACCATCCTTGTTTCTTTGGCTCAGTTCCTGGCCTACCCTTAGACCTGCTTTAGCACCAGCCTTGTCTGGTGATCTGGACTCCTGGCAGAGCCTGGATTTTGTCTCAGGACCTGCCTTGACTTGTTGCCTCCTGGAGCCCCATCCTATTCTCCATCTTCTCTCCCACCTTCCATCAGCCGARCATATCAGCAATGTTTGTATTTTTAGTCACCTTGTTGGCTGTTCTTSTACCCCACCATGATTTCTTATTTGTTGCTGCAACCTCCTAACACCCTCTTTTTCTGTTCCCAGAGTGAAGCTCATGAAAGTCCTCCCAGTTGCYTTGTATCTTAAACAGCTTCTTCACAACTACCAGGGTTATTGTTATGTCCCAGAGGTCCATAACACAGTAACTCATGTGATGACCATGWATTTTTTCAGTTTCTCCAGGTCTGACCAAGAGAGGAAAATAATCTTTGCCAGAGAAATGCACTCTGAATGTCAGCTGTGAGGGTTGCACCAGGACAGAGAAATAACTCATACATCAATGAAGTGGTGGAAACAGTGCCCACAAAAGAATTAGTAACTCGGGAAGAAACTTGTGCTTGGGAAGAACAAGACTGACCAGATATGACGAAATTTGCCACAAAACTGAATTAATGGTTATTCATGAAAAGACAGACAAAACACAGCAGAAACACAATAGCTCTGGAAAAACAAAGGAGACAATAAATTGGCTTCTGCTTTGAAAACAGGGATGCTGAGAAACGTTCCTAAACACTGAGCAGGAATGAGGCTATTCCGAAGCTTCCTAAAACAGCCACTGGCTTTACTGCCTTTCAGTAATCTTTCCAGCTAGTATYCTGCAGACTGTCAGTGATCCCTGGTGTTTTTAGAAGCTCCCAAAAGGCAACTGTGGTCAGCAGATTTTAATTAAGCCACATGTATTTTTTTAGTCTATAACTTGAAGAAAGTTAAATGCCACAGTGCACAACCCATATGAATGTCCACTTGTGTCTGTATGTGCAGCAAGATGTTTTTGAGTTCATTAGGTATTTTTTCATAGGAGTTTAGTACTCTTAATAATGAAAATTTGAAAACCCATCTATACATTACAGCAATGTAAATCATTCTACTACACTATTGCCACACTTACTAAGCAGTCTCCTGTTTTAACTGATGATTTCAAAGACCTTTGCCATGAATTGGAGTGGACTCTCCCTGAGGAACCTTTTGGTCTAGTTTGGCTACTGTTGCACTTGCCTAACTAAACTCATACTTCCAGTTGAGTGAAACCATCAGTGAGAGGTGCTGATCTAAAAACCACTCACACGTAGTTCCTTCAAACAACGACACACCTACTATTGATGCAAAAACACTCCAGCACAGSAGAGGTTGAAAATGTTTCTAACACCCTTCTGCACTCAAAATTATCAATTGCTAGAATATCCAAATGGCAAAGCAAGCTGGGCATGAAGACAATGCTGTGAACAAAGTACTGAAAATAAGTAATTCAGTTTTACAATTGCACTGCTACAGAAGTAATATTATTTTTTTTTTTATTTCCTTTGAAACAATGCATCGAACAGTGTACATGTATGGATTCCAAGCTGGAAGCTTCTGTCAGAACTGGAAAATCTCCTGAAAAAAATTGCACAATACTACAAATAATTTGCTTTGGATTCAGAGAATAGAGATTTTCAAAGGAGCTCAGCCTGTTTGGGTGTATTTGCTTGGTAGCCAAGAAAATCCAGAGCTGAGAGGCAATTCAGCTGTGGCCTATAAATATATTGTAGACTACAYGCTAGGGGAGAAGAAAAGCTTCTCATGAATATGTTTATGCTGGAAATTAGAAGGTTACTCAGTCCTCACAGCAATGATGCTTTGGAACAACCTTTCACTGGAGAAATGAGGCAAAGCCATTTGAAGTGGTTTCTTGACTAGCTGCAGGGATGATCCTGCAGTTTTCTGTGACAAGAAATGACAGTGTTCGGGTCTGTCAATGGGCTCCTTTTCAAAACATGCCCTTACTTGTCATGGTGGGAACTTTGGATGCTGAATGTTTTGGAAAATCTGGCTTTTACTACATGTCTGAAAGTGAGCAGAGGCCATTCATAAATATCCATAGATGGCGGAGCTCTTCAGACTTCCTTTTCATGTGGTATTAACATGAGGCATCTGGGAAGTAAGTAAGAGACATTTGATCACAGGCTCCAAGTTGATTTGAATAAAATGTCACAAAGAATTTTTTTTAAAACCTAATAAATTCAGCATAAACACACAAAAGTTATCTTACTCAGACTTGCTAGCAGTTATTATACAATCCCTTCCAATTACCAGTTTATTACAGGACATAATTTTCATGTTGCACACTACCTTATGCAAGCTATGCTGATATTCAAAGAGTATGCAAGGAGTTGCCACGACCACACATTTCAGAGAGAATGAAGGTAATTATGGTATCCCTGGARATGGGTGGCACCCTCTTGCCCACGGGCACACCAAGCCTAACCCCCATCAGCGACACCRTGCCCGGGAGGAGCACTTAGGGTGACATATGGTGGGAAACAATGTGGAACTGCAGGGTGTAGACAAGCACAAGCTTGGTTTGCACCAAGCCAAAAGGGAGYTTTGCTTTGCTTGCTTTTGTCATAAAACTAAAAAACAGTTGTTCAAAGCTGACAACTATACTAGTTTATTTTATTTTCCTCCAGCCTTTCTTGTCTCTCTGCGTCTTTGGGGTTTTGATTTGGCCTGTACATTCTTGGTGGCCACAATCACAGATTGATTTCGGGTATGTGTTCTGGACCCTACTAAGGATGTTGTTCTCCTCATGGTTTTTTTTTTTTTTTCCTTGTGAGATGCTTTTGATTAGCTGCCTGAAAGACAGGTTTCACAAGGAACTCCTGTGGCACGGAAGTTTGTCTGGCAAAACTAATTGAGGAGAAATGGCCCAATTAAGAAACTCATTGTACTTTTCCATTTCTAATGGCAAACTCTGCAACAATTTATGTCCTGTAGGAAGGGTTTACAGACTTAGAAAAGGTCCTCATTATCTTTTGAGCTCACAAGCAGTGCAACTCATGCAATCATCTGTGCTTGGCAGTCCCCAGAACCAAAGGATGYAGAGAGAAAGGGTGTTGTGCAAAGCTTTCAGCAAAAGTAGAGCTCATCCTTGGCTTCTTCAGTTTATGACCAGCTTTCAGTAAACATGTACATGCCTACCCATATAACTGAAAGCGTTTTGGACATCATTATTTCATGTAGCAAACCAGAATGATAGCCAGGTCAGCCCCACCATAGCTCAGCAAAAGCTTTAAGCATTTCTCAGCTTCATCTAATACAGAAAGTCTGAGAGTATTTCAGGGAATATTCCCCCAAGAATCCACTTTCTCAATGAAAGCTCATAACCAACAGTGGAACAGACACAGAGCTCACTCAAAACATCAGCTCTGAAAAACATTTGGTCATGTCTCTGCTAGCAGTTTCCTCYAGCAGGAATGTTTTCCTGGATCCTRCCATTTAAATGTCTCCTGCTGGCAGCCAGCTTGAMCCCCCAGGCCTTCAATCCATGAGCTCAGTACTAATGTCCTTCCACTACTTAAGAATTCTCAGCTGAGAATTCTCCAAAGGAGAGGATACACCTACATGGAAATAAAATACAGAGTTTTTCCAGTTAGACCATTTCAGGCACCAAAATCTGTCTGTCCCAAACACACACAAAAATATTCTTACAAGGAAAATCCTCTTCTTTGACAAGTAAACAGGCAATCAAGACAAACAGGTCAGCAGCCAGCTGAGCAACATCTAGAGCCATGGCCAAGAAGATTTACTGGTCTTTGAAGAATATATTACTTTCAAATAAGCTATATCGTTAAAAGAGAAGGACGATACAGCAAAGTTGTTACCTACAGAGCATTCAACCTTTATAAACCTTATTCTTATCCAGTGCCTTCTGGCTAAGACTTTTCCAGACCCTGTGTAGTACTTTGACATGATTGTACTTTGTACAAAGGCACAAAAAAAGACCTTGGCCGTCTTTTCGAACTTCAATGATTCTATAAGGATTCTACGATCACTTGTAACATGATCACAAAAGYGCAGTTGAAAGCTACTGGTTTATTTTCCATACATGATTCATTTGTATTGCCTTCATCATATCCCATTAGCAAAGMAGAAAATTCCTACTTCTCTGTAGGAGTCGATAGTTGACACCTTTCCTTYTTCCTCCTCCAGTTATTTAACTATGCAAGTTGATCTAATGACTTGCTGCTACCGAAAATCTTACCATTTGCTCCCTAGCCCATGGCTCTATCACCCACCCCTTCATTTTGCAGTAGCTCTGGCCCACATACCTTTCTAAAAGCCAGTTTGGCTCATTAAACCCTCTCCTCCATTTTTGTTGTTTTCTCCTATTTTATTGGATTAAATCGGCTCACTGGAGTTGGACAAGCAGCAGAAACTGCACAAAGCCAGCAGCTTTCTGGGCAGAAACAGAATTTCCCCTTTCCATCAGCAGCGAGCTGGTAACGTGGTTCATTGCATCTCGAAAAAACACACCGAGCCAACAGAACAATCAGGGAACCTGCCTCATGGGCACAGCCTAAAACCAGATTAGCTGAACTCCTGCTAAAGGCTCTGCAATCCACACGGACTTTGCAGGAGGAGATTCATGCCATCAGTTTTGCCAGCTCATCTGCTCAGGCAGCATCCTTCAACCGCAAAGTTGTAAGATCTGAGCACTGCCACGAGCACTGCTGCAGTGATCATCCAAGTGGAACCCAGGAGGGTGCAAAGCTGCTGCTGAAGAATGYAGAGAAAACCAAAAGGCACCAGATTTAGCAAGTAGGAGTGGTATCTGCACAAAGAGCTTTATTTTAATCAATACAGCAGTGAAAAAGCAAACTTTTAAAGAAGGAGGGGAGAAAAAAAAAAGAAGGGAGATTTATGTCTGTACGTTTAATAAAAACACTTGCTCTAAGACAAAAATAATTTACATTCTGGTAACTCACATTCAAAAATAAATAGAGAAAGGCATCAGGGCATAACATTCAAATGAATACCTAGTAAAAGCAGTAAWGTATTTGTATTAATAATCAAGAATATAACACTGCAATATTTAATCTKGGATCTGTGTATACAAATRTMATCTCCTACACAGCAATAATTGAAGACAGATACACCACCAGGAGCACAGACAATGATTTCTGGTAAATTAAAAAGGAAGGAATTGTACTTAACAAAAATCTCCTCCAAACCGGTATAGCAGAAAAACCACCCTGAGTAGCAAACAACAAAAAATAAACACTGACATAACTAAAGAAAACTAGTTTAAAAAGMAATTCAGTGAACAGATAGGAATCATGATGCAGGATTACCGCTCCCCCAAATAGCCACTCAATTATTTTGCTCTAAGGTACATAACACAGCACACAGAAAGTCATTCTATCTTAGTATAGTACTAAAATGCAGGCTTTTCCCATTTGGTCCATTTACATTTTGTTGATTATCGTAGCCTGCCATATTGGAAAGGAAAGTTGTGTGTCTCTCAATCTTTGGATACAAAAAACCAGAGAAATTACATTCTTCAGCATAAAAGCAAATTTTTGAGAAACCTGTGCATTTTTTCTTTTTTTTTTTTTTTTTTTTTTTTTTTTAGCACATTTTTTTTTTTACTTTCATTCATGCAAAAACTGTGAATTAATCCCACTCCAGATAAGGATTTTACCATAAAATTTAAATAGCCAATTTATCAGACTACAAAACAAAGAAAAAAAGCTTTATCCACATACTATCTTGCTAGTGAACTCTACTCAGTTAGTCAAATTACACTAACCTTACACATTTGCATTCTTAGAGATGCAGGCATAACAATTCATTCAGAAAAACTAAAAGACATATTTAGAATMGAACAGATCTGATAGCTATACTTACTCATTTTTACATAAGAGGCTCAAACATTTTTAAAACTACATGTATCCTCCAAAGAACACAGACACTAAATTGTTTAAACAAACTACAAGTAACCACTGCAGACCCAACAGTAATACTAAAGAAAAATTAATATCATTACACTATCAAATCCTTATCTTTCCTARAAATACAAGTGCAAATCAGAAGTTGCAATTCAAACGTTTAGAAAGCTTGAAATGAGTAAAATAATTCAGGTGTATAACACGATTAATATTCTGTGTTAGCCACATAACATTCAAATAGAGACTGGAATTTTAATTAGGGGAATTTTTWTTTWTTTTTTTAGCAAAGGAGAGATAAATTCAATGGCATTGTGTCTCTGAAGGAGCAGGAAGAATCYTCCAACAAACATTCTGTCATTGCCAAATTGTGCCTTAGGCACTGTACTCAATTAGGTTGGTTTTGGCAAGTAGATTTGCAAAGCAATCACCTGTACAATCACAGATAAAATCTATTCACACTCTGAAGGTATGCAGCCTTCAATCAACATCTCATAGTATGTTATGGAACAAACACATTATTCTTGTAGCAATAGGCACAGAAGACCTGCCCGAAGTCCCCCACCTCCACATCAGTATTTAAGTTTTTAAGTTGAATCCGTGTTTCCCAAATTAGATACTCATTCTCAGGACTCTATAGGGCAACTGTCACCTATTATGTTAACTAGACATTACTACAGTAGAATTCGATATATAGGTGAAAAATCCAGTTTGCAAAGATTACAAATGTATCAAGCTGCCAGTAAACAGTTCCTATATCTACATATGACGGTGCAAGTTAGCAGTGTCATAAAGGCACTTGTCTCTCACAGACAGTACTGTCTTCTCTAATCAGTCAAAAATAGATCTTAAAAATATTTACTATAACATCTGAAATGGTTTTTACTCCTTAAAGTGGTGCAAATCATCATCTATAGAACAATAATTCATTAGTTCATCATGAAAGAGCTGAGTGCAAATTATCCATAATTGAATATATCTTTATACTGAATCCATTTTAATGCCATGCTCTCAAAAAATGCCAAAACCCATGCTAATAGTAGAAATGTGATTGGCACTAGCAGCCAAAAATAAAAAGGTAGGTGCCTACAATAGTACAAGCAAGCTTATTTATGAAGCTATTAAAACMATGAAGTGAATGAGTTGCAGAGAGAGACATTTGCCACAAGTCTTTTCCAAGACATGCTTAAAGCCACACCTGACCATGTAGCACACGTTTACATCATTAGGGACACCTTTATAGCTGGCTACCTAATTGTACAAAAATAATTCCAAAATGCACATTTCACTTCCAAGTGAATTCTGCTTGTTCTCACCAAATGTGAAAACCAGATGCAAAACAGCAGTTYAAAAAGATACCTAAGAAGCCACTAAACAAAGTTCAGTGCAGTTTTTAAGGGTTTATGGATGGCAGTTTGAAATCCCAGAAATCCCCTTTATCTGTTCGGTATAAACGTACAGATTTTCCTCTCCAAGTCTCAGTATCTTAAAGCAATAACTTGAAAGAATTTCCACCAACAAAAGACCTGGTTTTGCAAATCAAAGGGCTCAGGTATTACAAAAATTGACATAATTGGTGTTGCCTATGTAAAAGCTAATTTGCAGCTGGCATTACAGCTCCATTAACTGAGAAATCTAAATGGTATGATGGATGGAATAAATCATGTACAACCCAAAACCCAGCAGGCTTTTTGCCCTCAGTACTTTATGTCGTAACAGCACATTAAGAGTATATCCAGACTGCTGTGAGGTTGCTGGATGGAGCCTCATGCCTGAATACTAATTTTTATGTCCAATCTCCTTAAATAGTTTTGCCAGCACTATACCATAAGTTCCTATGTCTTTGAGAAACCTGMATTCACTGAACATTGCACAAGGCTATTGAAACAAAAACAGGAAAGAAAAAAAGAAATAAAAATAAGCTATTTGATCAAGTATTAAACTATTCCTTCAGAGAATTGCACTTCTTTGCTTAGAGCAGTGACCAGAATTGCTGATGGTGTACTGACAGTTGCCATGGCAAGTGGGTGACTGCGTGGGATAGCAGACATATAGCCAAGTCAACTGCTTATGCAATCTCCATGATTTCAGCAAGCACAGAACACTTTATTATGTGCTGCCAATGATCTTCATAAAGTGCCAAAGGGAAAAGAGTTCTTCTGTGTCAAGTCATGGCTGTTTCAGTATTCCCATTCATCTGTCTTCATGTCCAGATAGTAAAGAATATTYTGTGCAAGCTTTACTGCCTGCTTCCTGGCAGCCTTACACCGCTCGTCACCTTGYGGATCAACAGCATCCAGGGCTAGAAGTTGTTTTGTAAGAAGTTCTTCCAGTCTCATGTAATTTTTATCTGTTCTGTTTCCATCAAATGAAAGCACTTCTTGCTGAATTTGAGACAAGTTTCCAAGAACAGTCCAAACTGCTCTATGAGACTGATGTTCAGCAACAGTTTGCTCTGGGTACATTTGCCTTTTCTCCAGTGCTTCTTTCAAATCGATATATGTTATAAGAGCTTGAACTTCAATTACTGCTCTTCTTCTGGCCTCTCTAATACAAGGATTTTTTCCTGGACTCACTTCATCTAGGCGGGCAATTAATCCCTGYAATTCTGCTTTGGATCTCAGATAYAAATCAGATGCATTTTCTGTTTTTAAAAGTAAAGAATTAACTTCCTTCATCTTCTTSCGAATCTCTTCTATTTTTAGAATGGACTGATTTTGTGCCAAATCGTAAGCGTGTGTAGAATTTGCTTCTTCATCTAAGTCCAGGTACTTCTGCAATTTATTGATCTCTTCTACTACTTCCTTTCTGTAATTTCTTATTTCCGTGTGACCGCAGACGTCTAAAGCRTCCAAATCAGCAATGAGGCCTGTGAGCACACAGGACAGATGCTTGCAGGTATCATTACTACTCACTCCCATCARAAGTGCAATAAGAGTTCCTCTGGCTTTGTTCACCTCGCACATTACAGAGTTAATTTTGGAGACAGACGGATGTGCATCATTAGAGAGTGGCAGGGACAGCTGTTGCTTTACACCATTCTCTATAATCTCCTGAACAGCACATACCTTTGTCAGAGTGCGGTATCTTGCTTTGCGYAGAGAAACTTTCCCTCCAGTTTTCACCTGGGTAAGCCTCAATACAATGTCCTGAATTCCTTCTTCAAATTCGTCACTTATACAGTTTCCTCCTTCGTAAAAAGGTGTGACCTCACGTTCTACAAGCGCCTGTGCCTCCTTGAATAAAGCCTCTATTTCCAGTCTGCGTGGATGGTTTGCATTTTGTTCCAGTTCCTTCAGCAGCCTCTCAGTTTCCTGGGCAGCTCGCTTTCTGGCTTGTTGAATATCTCCCTTCCCTTCCGTATCGACGGAATCTATTTCAAAAAGCTGCTTAGTAAGGCTCCTTTCCAATTTCTTATAATCTCGGTCGGTAGACAGACCACAGAAGACAGCCACTTGCTGTTCAATCTCTTTGACTTCTTTCTGTATTTCATGTAACCGTTTTATGGATGGGTGTTGGTTACCCATGTCCATTCCTCTCTTCTCGTCCCGATACAGATGAACTATAAGGAAAATGAGAACACGACTCGCCTAAGTGCTACACAAACACACGTTACAACTTCAGCATTAGAGCTATTTTAAGTACCCTCACCAATAAGAAGAAATCACCTGGCTGGTATTTMACAGCCCTTTAATTTTTTACACTTTTCTCCCGGCCGGGCCGCAGGGGCGATGCTTTAGTTGCCACACTCCCAGCTCCCAGCATTCACCCACAGCTTTCCGCCCTCCCTTCCCCACCTGCTCTGCAGCTGAAGCCGCCGCAGAACGAACAGGGCACCCGCAACCCAGGGCAGAACCCGGAGCAGGGGGAGAACAGCGGCCGAACCCGACCGCCCTCGGGCGCCGCAACCCCGGGGCAGCGCTGCCTTGCCCGCACATACCTTTCTTCCCCTCAGCACTCTCCCCCGGGCACTCCATGGCCGCGACCTCCCGCCTCCCCCGCGGTGGGGCCCGGTGCAGCGGGAGGAGGAAATGACACCGGGCCACCGCCGAGGCACCTGCGAGAGGCTCGGCCCCACCGGMCCCGCAGCTGACCCGCGCGGCGCCCCCGCCCCGCCTCGCTCCCTCCGTCACACTCACCCGCCGCGCGGCCGAGGACCCGCTGCCCGGCCCGGCGCTGCGCCACGGGCCGAGCGCCGCGAACCGCCCGAGCCCCGCCCGGCCCGGCCCCGCCGCGCGGAGGAGGCGGAGGGAGGCGGAGGCGAGAGCGGCCCCGGCCCCGGCCCGGCCCCGCCCGCAGTGCCCGTGCGGCAGCGCCGTAAAGCGCCGGGTCATGGCGGCTGCCCGGGTGCTGAGGGCTGGTGGCTGCTGCCGCTGCCGCCGCCGCCGCCCCCTCCTCGTCGCCTCCGCCTCCTCCTCCGCCTCCTCCTCCGCCTCCTCCGGCGGCGGCCGCGCGGCTGAGCGTGGGGAGCGGCCGGACAGCGCGGTAAACCCGGGCGGGGGTGGGGACGGGGGCGGCAATTCCCGTGGGGGCCGTGGGGAAAGTGTCGGGGGCTGCCGGCCCCGCGGAGCCTTGAGCGGGGAGCCCCCCCGGCAGCGCCCCGGTAACGCCGGTGGGGCGGGAGCGTACCGGTAGCAGACCGCGCTCCCCGCGGCCTCTGGTTTTTGATGTGCTTGCCGGGGCCCCTGGTGTTTGTTGTTGGAGGGGCGCTGTGTTATGGATTGTTGGGTAAAACACCAGGTGTTCCCGAACCCGGCTGGGGCAGGCACACGCCTGTGTGAGGACACAAGGATGCAGGAAGAACGCCGGGCTTAGGAGAACGTAGACCGACAGAAACATAAAATATGCTGAGTTGCAAGGGMCTTACAAGGATCACCSAAGTCCAATTYCTGGCCCTGCACGAACRGCCCCAAGAATCGCACCACGTGCCTGAGAGACTTGTCCAAAAGTTCATTGAGCTTGCCAGGCTTGGGGCCGTGAGAACTTCCCTGGGAAGCCTGTTCCAGTGACCATCATCCCTCTGGATGAAGAATCCTTAACTAATACCCAGCCTAAACCTCTCCTGACGCAGATTCATGCTGTTCCCTCGGGTTCTGTCACTGGTCACCAGAGGGCAGAGATAAAGGCCATAAAGAAAGCTTGCATACTTGCTGGTTCTTTCCGTGAAATATTTTACCAGAGGATCAGTGATAGAAAAATGAAAACACGCCTATGGTAAAAGAATTAGAAGTATCTTCTCTCTAGTGCATTTGTWAATAAAAGTAAATTGTAAATGTACAGCATTGGTTTTGGTCACGGTAAATAAATGCGCTTAATTTCCGAGCTTGTTACGGTTGTATGCTTTAAGGTTCCCTGGCGTTTAGGAATTGATTCCAGAGTGAGACGTTCTTCAGAAGCTGCTGCAGTGCTCATAGGGCGTTGTGTCTGTGTTTCACAGGGCCTGGGTTTCCGTCCCCCCGCGCACTCGCACAGTGACTGGATCGGGCCCCCGGACAAGCACTCCAACCTGCGCCCCGTCATCTTCTACGTGCCCCCCGAGGAGTCGGCGCTGGAGCGGCGCCTGCGGGAGGCGCGGCAGGAGGCGCAGGACAGCAACCAGCGCTTCTGGGCACGGCACAACCGCGCCTTCCGCCAGGTGAGCCCCGCCTCTGCTGCTGCTGCTGCTCCCCAGTGCTCACCTGCCTGCCCGAAACCTCTCTGAGGTGGGGCTCAGTTCTGCCCGCGGTTAATACACATATGGGCACAGAGGAAATTACATTTTTGTCGCTAATTTCTTAAAATGATGCACTGAACTAAAAATCTCACATTGCTGTTTAGTGGCACAGAACGTTTGCCTTTGGCCTGCCTTGCATTGAAAATATAAAATTGTAGCCACCCTACATGCAAGACCTGTCTGTGACTAGGGCAGCTGTTGAAATGGATTCAATGGCTGGTTTTTCTGTGTCATAAGTGAGAGAAATGTGGTGCAATTACCCAGACTAAATGAGCCTAAATGATATGTCTCATTTCACTAGCTGCATATCCTAGCAAGTCCAAAGTGAGTCTCTCTTCTTTCCTGATTTTAGCATCTCCCAACCAAAGTGGCATTTTTTGAACTAACAGTAATAGTTCAGTAATTCACCRTTGTTTATGACGCTGAACATTGTATCCTCTCAAAACCTGCAAAGATTCCAGAAAAAATGAAGCCTGTGGTTTTTTTAATTCCACTGAACTGCTTTTTAAGTCTGTAAAACTTACATACAAATTATTACTGTGCTTTAAATTATTATCTAAATAATTTAAAGTTTTTTAGGCTGCATGTTTTTCTCTATGCTCAGAATCTCAGTTATACAGTACAGTACATTTCCATCGTTTGTGTTGTAAACTGAAAGTTTTWATCCTGTCAAACAATATTGAAGCTTGGCTGTAACTTTACTCCACAAGTCAGGTTTATAAGTATCAGTAGAACACTTGCATTAATTAATTGATGCATGCAGGTGGCTGGATCTAAGTGACAACATTACCAGTTTAACTAACTCACTGGATTGAGAAAAGTGTTCCGTTGACCCTTCCAAGTRTAACAAGTATTGCTAGTTATTTCAGAGAGTGTTAAACAAGACATTGCTATGTAATTAAAAACAATGGTTAACTTCAAGGACTGACTGCCTCAGATTCTAATGTGGAAAAACATGTTTTAGGAAAAAGAAGAATTTATTTATTCAAGACTGAAAGCCAAAGGTCTGGAAATGAGAGATGAATCAGGTTAGTGAGATCTTTGTTAATAGCTTAGGATGCATTCTGAATTCTGTTTAACTTTTAATTTTATTATATTTAACTTTTAATTTCACAGTTTATGCTCTGTGTTCTGTCACAAKTAGAAGTGTTTTCAGGAGCATGATAAAAAAAGAGGGGAGGAGCTCTTCAGGGAGGCATGTGAGGGGCAGATCTTCTGTTGCACTGTTCTCCCCCTAAGCCCTTCCCCTGTAGCCAGAGGGAATGTGCTGAAATCCTAGCCCAGTAATATAATGGTTGTGTAGCCTCAGGAGAAAGGGGTTTTTTACTTTCACACCTCCTACCCAGTGAGCTGGCTGAGATAACCATATAGAGCATTTGCCTCAAGTGCATGTTATGGTTGGGTGCATAAATTCACAGTCTTTGGCTTCAGATCCATGGTGTATCCAGTGAATASAATATTTTTCCTTAAGGGAGAGTAAAACAGCTTCTGGGGAGATGGCAACYGCTGTCTGCCCATCTCTGCCTGAGCGCAGTTGCTGTAAAATAGTTGTCTCTTTAATTCATTATGTGAAGAGGAAAACAAAATGCCTTCATAATAATAGTGAATTGGGCATTGTAGTATGAGGCTAAACATTTTGTTCACAGAATAATGATCTGTTTGAGTTTAGTGAAGCAACTGCTCTGACGTTCTGTGTGTCACAGACCATTATTTTTCTTCTCTGTTTGTATCCTGGTGATCAGTATGTAGTTGAGAAATAATTTTAATTAAGTTCTATGTTGTTCCAAAAACATTTATATTACTGTTTTGTTTTTTTTGTTTTGTATTTATACCCTAGAAATAAAAGAGAATGTCCATTAAAAATAAAATTGTATTAACTGTATGCTTTGATTACCTGTTCTATAATACAGCTGAGTGTACATAAAAACAAATATATACATGAACAATTGGAACAAAACTTACTTTTCTACGTAAAAAATTMGTTTTGCTGATACCAGTATGAAGAAACAAATTACCTATTGGTGTTAAGCTGGTGTCCTTCAAATGATTTTAGAGTTAATTTATCCCATAGTATGTTAAACCATTGTAATATATTAGTTTTTTAAATAAGGACAAATAGAACCAATCAATAATTTACATTTCTGTGATCAGTSTCAGGTGCCTTAAAATGCATTTTGGAACAGTAACAAGTTGAATATCAATTCCATCTCCTCATCATATCCATGTTCCCTGGAGCATTCAAATTTGACTKTCATTTTAGGGACATTTTGTGCCAGAAGGTTTGTGTAGAAATTATCTGGTAGAGTTGAGAATATTTGCTGGTTCTCAGGACTAGACATCTGTGYTGTAGCCACAGGTCTTCCTGCTCTTCCTTTTATATTCTGGTTATGAGTGACATRTTCAAAATCATCTTTTGTATTTGCTTCTTCTCAAAATAATTGCCTACTCGATTGTTTGTAAGTCTGACATCTCAGAACATAAACTTTTTGCCTGAAGTTACTTGAAATTTATCAACAGTAACAATGTGCATCTGAAAATAGGTGACAGTTGTGGATAATGTTCTTTTGATATTTATTGACTTGCTTTAGGGGGATAATTTAAGTTACTAAATGCTCTTATTTGTGTTGTTTAGTCTTCAGCCCTGTGAGAAATTAATTTTATTCAATGGATAGATACTCCTAGATCTATGGACTTTCTCATAGGGGTTCACTAGTTCCCTAAATAGTCGAAGAGCTGATAAACTTTATCACTTCCACAAGTAACAGGGGTACAAGGACTGTGCCAGCTTCACGATGATCAGTATTCTTAATCTGCTGTGCTCTCAAGATAAGTTTTTAAAAATTGAAAGATAAAGGCATATTAACTTGTTCAGGGTTACAYAGGAAGCTTGTAGGAGCAAGGAGTCAGATCTAGCATCTGAACCCAGTGTTTTAATCCAAAGAACTGCCTTGACTTGTTACACCAAAACTTATTTTCAGGTCAAAAAGCAACAATGAGTGCAGAAGAAATGGCTGACTTTTACAAGGACTTTCTAAGTAAAAATTTTAAAAAGCATTTGCAGTATAACAGGTATGTAGAAGGTATTTATGTTGATCTTTATACATTAAGTGGAAGGTATAAGACCAAGTTGAAAATTTGAACATTTTTTCCTGTAATTGGTAAAACAGCACAAACCCCTGTAATTCTGGAAATTTTTTTTTAATACTATTTTTAGCATTTGACAGAAATTTGCATTATCATTTGAGTTCTGCTGCTGTTTATTGTTATTTTAGGGGAAAGATAAGCTCAAGTCTGAGATTTAAAGAGACAAGATCAGGCACATTTTATTATCTTAGGGCATGGATCTTTTCATGCTGCTAATTGAAACTGATAAATATGCAAATAAACCAATTGAAATTTCTGTGTAACAGATTGTAGCTGACTGTTAAATAAGGACTTAYCTCAAAGGAACATAGTTTAATGACAGTAGTATTTAATATTCTTGATTCTGTTTTTCGCATGTGTATAGTAAAAATGAAAGTGATCAGTCTTGAGTTTGGCAAGACATCAGTAAATTGATCATCTGAAGTCATCCTGGGTAGAACCTCAGCTACAGCTTGGTAAACCCACACCCACTTCTTCACAGCATCTCCTGCGTTGTGTCAGCGTTACTATTTGCACAACTCAATAAACTGCATTGGGGGTCTGAAAGGGCTGAAAAGTGACTTGCAAACACACATAACCCTGCAAGTAGCTGTGCACACTTGAAAAGGGCTAGAAATGAGGGAGGAATGGGAAGCTGGATGAAAACTATTTAATCCAGGAATATTGCCCACTGAATATGAAAGGATAACTCCAGCTTCCTCTGATTTTTTGCATTGGATTGAGAGATTATTGGGCTCACAAGTGCCRAGTGTGACTGGGTTCCTAATAGTGTAATGCCAGTGAGAATTCTACCATCACTGTTACCAATCTATAACAAATTGTGGCTTAAGTTTCTTCAGATGTATAATGCATAAACCATAAAATACTATCCTATAAGAATAATTTACCTGTAACAAATATTTTAAATAAATAAGCACATCTTGCCCATGGGGAGGCAAGGGGGAACCTCACTGCAATCCAAAGCGACAGCATGAAAAGATGGAAAGTAAGAAATTGTTTTTAGTGAAAGGATTGTCATTTAAATTGCCYATAATTGATAAGTGGGAATGCAAATAGTTCATCTTAGAGCTGGTCAGCAGCTGCCATTGTTGTAGTGACCTTAGGATAGTGTTCCATYTTCACTGTAAGAAAATTCAGGCTTTGTGTTTAACATAACCTTCTTTGCTGCTGACTTACAAGATCAGGTTGTGTCAGCTGCATTGTTGTAGTTTCAAAGTGGAACTGCACAGGCCTGAAAACAGCAGAGCTTTTTACAGGCACTCTGATTTTGAAGGGTCATATTTATAAAAATCTGTTTATGCATTTAACTGTATGTTCTTTTGCAGTATTGCCAGCTGGCCTGAAAACTGGCAGCTGAAGTGTTGCAACTTCTAAAATTTAGTTAAAATTGAAGCAATGACTGTGCATAGATGCCTTGAATATTTAGTTGAGGGTACTTAGACTGGAAATACAATTTAGTTTAGGAAAAAAATTCAAAAAGGTTATAGGAAATTAAACATGAAAGGAGGAAAGAAACAGTTGCAATGTTGAATATTTAGTTCAGGGTACTTAGACTGGAAATACAATTTAGTTTAGAAAAAAAAATTCAAAAAGGTTATAGGAAATTAAACATGAAAGGAGAAAAGAAACAGTTTCAATGTTAGCATGATATTTTTATTTAACATGACATTTGAAGGGGTAGCTCAGTGCTGCCTGTCAGTGTGAATTTGGCTACTAACCTTACTGAGAGGTTGGTGTCTCAGGCTTATGTTAGATCTGTGCATGCAAGGTTTGCCCCAGACGTCTCAAGAGAAGACCTAAATCCCAGTGTTCTAGTTCTTAGAATTTTATATATTCTATTGCTTCCTGTGATCATTTTACAATATGGGGGTGAGATTGTTGCTAGAAACTAGAAGGAAATTTCGATGTTACTTTAATTTGTAACAGGGGCAAGAACTTGAAGCAAGTTCTCAGAGGTTGAAAGAGGTTCTCAGATGCACACTATACTGTGTATAATTTGAACTGGTTCCAGAAGCCATGCATGATTCATAAAAATTAAATTATTTAAAGATATGAAGACTTAACTTTGGCAATATTAAAGGCATTATCTTTAAAAGATACTGCAGTAGAAAGATAATGTTTCCCGTACTGGGTTATACAGTTAGCCTTTGAAGTGTGATTTGATTTTATTTTTTCCCACCCTTGTATGTGACCAGCTCTGCCCTTTTCAACACATGCATCTTCATCCWTACACAAATAAATCTTACCTATAGCACAGCACGGGCAGGAAGTTAGTCTAGATAGCYTGGTGATCAGCTTTACTTCTGAAACATGAGACATGGTGTTAACTACTTTATCTTAGCTGATTTCAAATACAGTTGCAACCCTGTAATCCACTTGTAATCTCTTCATGGGTATGGATGTACACATAGAATTTTTCACAGGTTATTTAATTCTTATTAGTCAGGAAAAGTGCTATCATGAAGAACAGAAAATGCAGGTCATCACTGAAATGCCATTTGTCAAAGGATATTTTAATGTAATTGTGTATATTTTTCCTGTTCTTGTTCTGTATGCTGATTATTTTCTTGGCTTTGGAATCCTAGAGATTGGTATAAACGTAACTTTACGATCACATTCCTCATGGGACAAGTAGCACTGGTGAGAGCTCTGAGGTGGCTTCGTCGGAGAAAGAAAAATGTAGAACAGTAATCACAGCTCCATGAAGAATGCAACACTATATGCTATAAACCTGTGGTTTATAGTCATGTTCGAAATCTGAATGGCTGATGCAATAAYTACTTGAATTTGTTTTTTGAACTATGTAAATACAAGTCAACACTGATCTTAATTTRTAATCAGGATGTAGCTTTCCTTTTCTGTTTATTCCAAGAATATCYAAAATATTTCTTCACTGAAACACAACCAAGAAGACTTGTTCGTGTCAAACAGAATGGGTGATGACTGTCCTGTTTTTACTATAGAGTTATGGCTGCTAAATATCATGTGATTCAATGTGCTGTATCTGAACTCTGATCTCAGAATGATGTCTGCACCAACYATATTATATAAAGACAAAAATGCCTCATTTTGCAGCATTTGCCTGTCTGGGGCAGTAGCTATCCATAAATAATACAAAATGGGTGAAGGAACAAGTTTGGATTGTGAGTATATGTACATTCAGTTTGGAATAATCCTCTCTTCAGTGTGATTATTTGCTATTTTTAATAAAGATTTAAGATACAATTTCATATAAAGTACTAGTGCAATAGGATCTTCTTAGTTTTATATGTTTTTTAATTAAGAGAAATGTGCCTCCCTTGGACAGGAGCTCCTCTGAACTATTATTGGTAAATGCTTTAATTGCTGAGTGATAAAACAAATGTGCTGCCTGTCACTTAGTCTTGGTACAAGAGGAAACTGGTAACTGCTGTATGGAGAGCAACAATTCTACAAATTCTGCATTCTCCTGGTTCATTTCTTCCGAAAAAAATGTGCTGTTCTCTCCAGTTTCTCCAAGGCACTGAAAATCACTTGCCTGAGAGATTTTTGTGACCTCCAGGTAGGTAGCACCAATTGGAAGAAGATTGGTCCAAGTGAAGTCCTAAAATGTTATGCCRTGTATTTGTAAGTTTAAAGAGGACTCATTCCTCAGAATGTTCTCTCTGTCCATTTATACAGTTAAATGATTTTTTTTTTATCCAATACCCACTAAGGGGATTCTGTTAAAAAGGATGTATGCTGTCAGATGAAGTGTTTTCCTGAAGCTGTGCTGTAGGGAAGGTTCTGCTTTTGGAAACATCATCTCAGTGGCCATTGACCTATTTTCCATATCTAAACATGACATGATTTATTCACAGACTTTTTCAACTGGAGCAAAAAGAGCTTTGTCCACATCAGCTATAATAATTTCTCTGCAAGGTGAAATAAATGTTACTGTACAGTAGCAGATCACAGTGTTTCATACAACGGTGATGTTATTGGGGCTGAAGTGGCCACTGAATTGTGATTTTAAGTGTTGTGTTATTAAAAAATGAAAACAGTCATAAATGGTGTTTGCTAAGATAATAGCCAACACTTTGAAAATATTTGTGAACACTGTATCAGTATTGTAAAGGGTATGTATTTATTAAAAATTTACAAAATGCCATGTTTAGGAAAATATKTTTTTTAAATATTGTGGGTATGTAAGGTAATTCTTCAGGGCTTTACTATAAATCATATCTTACAATATGTAAGCTGTGATCACAATGTGAATGCACACTTTAATAGATAGCTCTGATGTAAAACAATAATTGGATAAYACAAGAAAATATCCCAGAAAGGGAGACCAGAGCCCCAGTGGGCTGGTGGTTAATGGCTGTGTGTTCTGACAGTCTGTGTGTAACATCCCTAAGGTAGTTTCACATATGCTTTAAATGGATAGAGGTCAATCAAAAGCATTTTCATTTTCTGAGTAACTCCCTTCCATTAACACAGACATTTTCATGTCTGCCTGCTGAACCAGATCAGGAAATTGATTCCCTRGTAGAACTAATCCAAGGAAAATACTGTTCGATGTCAGATGAGTTAATGTGCCTCATCATGCAGATATGTGTTGTTTGGCATGGGGGAGCTGTGGGAATTCAAATGGAAGGTTTGCATAGTACTTCAGTAAATTCACAGTTAAAACTGTTTTCTGAACATGTAATTCTAGTGTTGGTCACCTAAAAACAGTATCAGCATACAATGGATCATGATAGGATTAAGCTGCGAGCTGCTTTGTCTTTTATGYACCTCCAGGGACAGTGACTCAACCTGAGCAGCCTGTTCTGCTGCCTGACAGCCCTTCTGGTGAAGAAATTTTTCCTAATATCTCATCTAAACTTCCCCTGGCRCAACTTGCAGCCATTTCCTSTCATCCYGTTGCTTGTTGCTTGGGAGGAGAGACCGACTGTCACCTCTCCACAGCCTCCTTTTGGGTGCTCTAGAGAGCAGTAACACTCCAGCACCTCAATGTCCTTCCTGATTTGAGGGGTCCAGAAACGGACGGAGCAGCCAAGGTGTGACCTCAGCAGTGCTGAGTACAGGGGGATGGTCAGTGCCCTGCTCCTGCTGGCCACGCTATTACTGATCCAGGCCAGGATGCCATTGGCCTTGGCCACCTGGGCACACTGTTGCCCCGTGATCAGATGTTGACAGGACCTCTGCTTGTCCTCGTTGACCCTCACACCATGGACCTTGGCCCATTAATCCAGCCTGTTCAGATCCTCTGCAGAGCCCTCCTGCTCTCCAGCAGATGATGCTACTGCCCAGCATGGTGTCATCTGCAGACTGAGGGTGCCCTCAGTCCCTTCATCCTGATCATTGGTATCAAACAGACCGGGCCCCAACACTGCTCCCTGGGGAGCACCACGTGTGACTGGATGCTAACTGGATGCAGCACTGCTCACCAGCACTCTGGGCTCAGCMATCCAGTTTTTAACAGCAAACAATGCACCCAACSAAGCCATGARCAGMCAGTTTCTCCAGGACAATACTGTGGGAARCAATGTCACAGGCTTTACTGAAGTTCAGGAGACAACATCCACAGCCATCCCGCATCCTCCCAGCAGATCATCTTGTCACAGRAACAGAKCAGGTCAGTCAAGCAGGACCTTCTATGTGATCATTCTCAAGCACTTCTGTGCTTTGTAGCACATCAATATCCCTTGTGTCATTGCTGCCACATGGATCTCCATCCCCCATCTCCATCGAGRCAGCAGATGAAAGGATCTCCCCAGCACATCATCCCTCAAACACTGGCRTGTTGCCCCCAGGCTATCTCCAGGCCTGGTTTTATCCTTTTCCCCCTTCAAATTCATTAGGATTCTGTGTGGAGTGCTGAGTCCCTTCATCTAAAACTGATTGAAGAAATGAGGTATTTATCTATTACCTAAGTGTTGAGGTCTGATTTAAAATATCTAATAGAACTACTGTGAAAAGATGTTATTAAAAATAATCCATCTGAAATTTTGAATCTCATTACTAAAACCCACATGCATTTACTGAGATAATTGTATTTTCTGAACAGCCAAAAGCCRTATCATTTTCACCAGTGTTGCATTACTTTTGTTGGGTTTTTTTCTTGACTCAGAGCAATTGCAATAACATCAGCTGCTTTCAGATATTATTGATCATAAAACCTTTATACATCAAAGGAAAGCCAAGGAGATGCCAAAGACTACTAAAAATATTTTCTGTTATGTATATAAAGGCCTGATACAGTAACTRAAGCTAGTGAAATAGATCAAAGAGTGACTTTCCTGTGCATATTTTCTGAGTATAGGAAAAATACAGGGGAGTGTTCTTAYCATTTAAGTATTTAGTTAATCCTGTCAGAAGGAACAGCAGTATTTCATATTTAGTAGTGTCAGCATGTGCCTTTTTAGTCTGTCTCATGCACTCACTAAGTTCCATAATAAAGCAGAAGTATTTTGGTAATATTCAAATAGTTTTAGTTTGTACTGACTTGGGGTGGTTTTGTTCTGATAATCTGTGAGAGGGTTGGCTATTCACTGAATTTCTCTGCTCGAGCATTAATTTAAATAGAATATGARAGGAGTAAGAGGTAGTGTCAAATGGGGATTAAGCCACAGACTGACTAAATGTTRGGTTAAAGTGATTGCAGCATCTTTGTATATGATTAATAAATTAATAAAGACCTGTACGTCTTAAAAAAAAATGAGCTTTTCTCAATTTCATTATGAGATATAAAAGCAATGATAGCACCTACTGAGGACACAGCTTCTATGTTTAACTAAACATTCTTAGGGATAATATTAAAATCTAGTTCAAACCTCAGATTTGTTATTTAGAAGCTGACCCTTCCTGGCCCCATTTTAAGTGGACTGTCTTGCTTGCAATTTTTAGCTTCCACTGTCACTAAGCAAGATTGGTACCCARCAGGGTAATCAGATTTAACCAAACAAGAACTTAATTTACAATCTGTGCAGAGCCCATGGGCCAATCTTTTGCATAAAGACTGGAAGATTGAAATGTTTTCATGAAAGGATAATATATGCCTGGAACTGTAATATTCATGAATAAAATTTTCATATTAAAAATGATATCCACTGATTCACAGAATAATAACCCCATAATTGAATATTCAAGTTCATCTCTCAAAAAATTAGTATGGGAAACACAGCTCACTTTATTTCTTAACAGTTTATGTCTTCAGAAGAGTTTATAAGTACATGGAATGTAATCATCTTGAAGTATGTACTCATTAGTATTCATTATTATATAAATCACTTCTTTGTGCCTTGGCTTTGCATTCATTAATGGATTAAGATTTACCCAAGTATTGTGAGATTTACTTGACTGATATATTCAAACAGCAGATGCTGTGGAAATGCAAAAGCAGTACTTTTKGCTAGAAATAGTAAAGGCAAAAAAATACATGATCCCTTTTCAAGTGTGATCTTACTYGGAAGTATTCCTGTGTAGTGACTTACCTACAGTCAAAATCTGTTTTAGAAGCCACATAAATGCCTTGAAGACATGGTCCATTTYATCCAATGACTTGTGTTTGATTAGTTCAAACCAGATACCCATTTAATTGTTTCTTACATTTCACAAGGAAAGGCACATGATGTTGCTTGCTGGTATATGCAGGTTCTAATCCTTAGGATGGTCCCAGGTGTGTTGTGACCAGGGCCTGAGACAGCAGGAGGCAGCACAAATGACACTCTGCATCTCCTGAGGCTGCCAGGAGGCAATTAGCACCAGCCTAAGCCAGAGCAACCCTGGAGCTACTGTGAGGGACCAGTCTGGCATGGGTTTCCAGCAGCCCCCCTGCCAGTCAAGGCTTTTTGGCACCCAGCAGTGCCCTGTTCACACTGCTGCCTCCAAAAACCCACGGATATGATTCAGCTGCAGATTTGGCTGTGTTACTTTCATCAGCTGAGCCAAAACACATTAGCAAGCAAAACACAAGTTTCAGAATCATAAGAAATTCAGGTCACTATTCATATCTCATTGTAAAAGAACGTCCTGTTGACAAATTTTAAGAAGTCCTTTCCATGTAAAAATTCTCATATGATGATTGGGGTGTACCCTACATTGGCTGTTTTTAAAGGGTTCCCAAAAAGCTACAGACTTTAATTTCTAGAATGACTGAAATAATTAGAAGTCTAAATTCTTGGGAGAGAATGGGGGGGATATGTGTTGTTTTGCAAAACAGACTTTGTAGTTAAGGTTATTTAAGAAGCCAGTATCCATGAATTTCAAATTTCAAAAGAGACTGACTGCCTTGATTGCTTTCCAAGTGATTGTATTATCCTGGAGTGTTGTACAGAAAATAGCTGCTATGACACAGCATAAATATTCTGCAACCAACCAAGTCAAGTCAATTCTGACCTTAGTAGCTCTACAACTATAAATACTTAGGTAGAAAACACTTATTTGTTCAAAATTGTATAAGAATGGAAGATAAAATGGAAACTTAAATTCCAATGAATATGTAAGAAAATGTCTTCTGAATKTATCAATCTTCTCACATTTACCAAAATAGCATTTCACTTTTACTTACTGTCATGTCTGGAAAACCTCCAGTTTCCTCAGGCCTCATGAAAAATTCCACCATGGAAAACAGAACAAAATACTAAGCTGACATATGAGTAAATAGCCAGAGGTGCCAATTTGTGCCAAAGAAGAATTCCAGCTCACTTCAAAGAAAAAATCAGTTCTGCCATAGGATATTATACAGCAACTTGAATTGACAAGAGATGCTCAAAATTAATTCATTTGCTGCCTCTCCCCTGGTGCTGCTTCTGCTGCTGGGAGAAGAGGGGTCTATTCAGTGTGGCACCTGGGGGCTTGCTGGGCATRTCTAAATTACCACGGTATCACAGCCATAAATCTGAGTGCCACAGAACTGAGTAAAACAGGCTGGTGCTGGGACAACGTGGCTGAAGAGCTGCACTGGGCAGAGCATGTTTCCATCTCAGGACGATTTTTCTTAGGGTTTTAAATCACGACGTTCACAGTTTCTCTAAAAGCAGCAAAGCAGCTTAGTACTGTCTTGAGTCTATAATTTATAGGGATTATCAAACAGCCACTTAGCACTCAATGTTCAGTYTCATATGTAATTAACAATGTCATTTCAGCTTTTAGTGCTACTATATGTTTACATGTAAATTAGAAAAGCAATCTCACTTGTTTAAAATATGGACTTTGGTTTTGGGGGCTACCCAACCAAAATCAATGTTCACAACCAATGAGTTCACAACCAAAAATTCAAAGAGAAAGAAGTTAATTTAGTTAGAAAGATGGTTAACACAGCATTCCAGCTTCCTTTGCAAAATGAGTGGGATGAGAAATGACAAATGTGTGAACCATCCTTAAAAGGAATTTAGAGTGCTTTCTGCATTGGTGCATGATAAACCTGGAAGCACCATTTTATAGTTATGTAGCTAATTACATGGATGTGGGGCACGTTAAACTGCTGCCCACAAKGGAGTCATTTATGGGGTAGATTTCTGGTCAGTGTTATACTCTAGGGAAGGAAGATACYGTTATTCATCAGCCTATTCTGGGTGAGTCATGGCAGCTTTCAAACATATGGTGATGGTGTACTTTGTGGCCCTTCAGCATGTAATATAAAGTGTAACACTGTGTAGGCAGCACATTTCACTTTCATGGCTAATTTATATTTATCAGTTATTCCCAGCTTTCTCTTAGTGTTTACTGTGCATGTGTCAGTTCCTGTTTACAGCTACATTATCTTCAATAGGTAGAGTTTGATACAAAACTATGTAAAACTACTTATGTCTTTGAAACAATTTCAAGATATTCAGCAATTTCAATATATTTCAATTTCAGCTTTCATTAAAATAATATTTATTTTAGATATTATAGAATAATCTTATGTTAAAATACAGATTCATATCTAAAGTACTGCATATGGCATGTTTCAGCAATTGCCGAGAACTCTCCCAGGAGACTGCAGTTAATTGGTGTGGCAGAGTGAACTGCTCTATGTAATCAAAACACCTCAAACAGTCCAGGTGTTTTAGGTGACAGTGGTGTTGTAGAGAACTGTGGCAGCATGGATTTTTTTTTTTTCCAAAGAAATTACTACAAGCTCTACTCTGAATTTTCCTATGCCCAGCTGCCACCAAAGTCAAAGGCCAAGGAGTCCTGCTTTAAATTCCTATTTATAATTGTCCTGTAAAGCAAAATTGTGGCCTCAGAATATCTGTCATGACCTACATACCAATGAGGTAATTGCCTTCTTAGCCAGTTGCTGCATAAATTACCTAAATCACCTAAATTGAATCTAGTCTTTTTGGCACAAGGAAAACCTTCAGAACATGATGTGATGCATCAGTATCTGCCAAACTTGTCAAACTAATAGCATCCCCTCACTTTTTTTTTTAACCCACATACTGGTTAACAAAACACCTATACACAGATGTAAAAGGAATTGCTTTCTTCAGAAACAGACACCTTCAATGATACTTTCTAA